CACACACACACACACACACACACACAAACGCTCACTTTTCCTTGTGTCTACATTGCATCATTCGTATGACTTCGCAGAAACGACTGCATGGACACGCTGAAATATGTTACAGCAGCATATAAGTCACATGACAAACTGGTTGAGCACGGGACAGACGTGACAGTTTGAACTGTTGCATAATACTCAAGAATGTTTTTGCCGCTGGGCCGCTTCTTGAAAAGTACTTCACGATCCAAAGCGGCTGAGATACTTTTATATTTGCAGGATTGTATGTCACACAATCTGGGCGGGGCAGTTGTAACGAGCAGAGTCAATAAAGTGGAAGTCGGAAGAGGTGAAAACGCACCGTGATTAAAATGCAATTCAGAGTCCAGCAGAGAGAGAGAAACCGTAAGGAATGCAGTGTTTTCTAACAGAAGCCACACTTTTTAAGTTTTTCTAACGTGAGAGCGAACCCACTCCTACACAATAAGCTCACTCCTCCCTGTGTGCGTGATGGCCCAGTGGCTGAGCTCGGCCAGAAGCCATTAGTTGCAACATGAGATATGAGAGCTGGGCTGGAGTTTTGGCTTCTCACCAAGTCACAGAGTGTACTCGAACAAATTCCAGCAACAAAGTTAATACGGGCCAGAATGGATTTATCTCTGCGTGTCTCAGATTGCATGTGCCTTCAGGAACAAGCAATCTTCCCACCACTGTTTTCTTTTTTTTTATAAGGGTCACATTTCCATTTTATTGAGTCAATGACTGCAAACTGCAGCAGGAGAATCAAATGCTTATAACTGTTTGTACCGGTCTGTCTACATACACAACTCAGCCACAGTCCTCTCTGTGCTGCCAGAGGAAAGCTCTGGACGCACAGTTCCTCCGGGTGCCACCGGGCCGGTTGGCAGCGAGTCCTTTGGGTCCTGTGGGATGTCGGGTGGGGTTTCTGTGCATGGTGCTTGGTTTGGTGCATTCCGCAGATGCTGGATCAGTTTTGGATCTGGAGACTGTGTCAACATCTTTGGCTCGTTGTCATGTTCCTCGAGCTGATCCTGAGCTGTTTACGTGGTGTGTGGGGTTGGTTTGTCCCACACGGGGAGGCTGCTGCTGGTGGGGAATGCCATTTCTTGTTCAGACCGGCTGTTGTTTGTCTGCAACCATAACTTTCCACCGCAAGAACTTTTGTAGTGTTTCAGGGTGGCCTGAACCTTTCTGCAGCGCACGAGAACCTTCCCTTAGAATCTTTTTGACCACATTTTTTGAGGTGGAAAAGAGCAACTAATAATGAAAAACTCCTGTTTAGGGCTTCATTTGCGACTTTGGAAAAATCAACAAGTGGCACTTCTTCTGCCTTCTTGACGGCCTCCTTGAGTTGCTGTCTACTCCTTTCTCACGTCATCATCAACAACCATCATAATTGTACCATATTTTATTTGATTCTATTTATCTTTTTGTATTTTTTAATTCACAGTATCCATTATATGGCTCTATAGTGTATATATAGTGTGTGTGTGTATGTGTGTGTGTGTGTGTGTGTGTAGCTCTATTGTATTACATTTCTCAGCTCTTCCTATTTATAGTTTATTTGTTCTCTTTTCTTCCTCTCACTTTTTCGTACTCTTTCCTGTGTCTATACTGCTGCAACAATGTTACTGTCCCCATTGGTGGTGAAAAATGAAGTGCAATCTAATCTAATCTAATCTAATCTAGTCTCATCTAATCTAGTCTCATCTAATCTAAACTAATTTAATCTAAACAATGTAAATTTACTATACGATATAATAACTATATAGGCGATCATAACAAATTCTCCTTTGTTCTATTTCCTACATGCTCATAGAACTGGAGGTACTATTTGTCATTGTTTTGGTGCACTCACAGTTGAATGCTAATTAGCAGATGTTAGCATGTTAAAGTAATATAATGTGGTAAACATGATAAACACTATAATTGAGACACAATAGTTTGTTAACACTATCATTGTGAGCATGTTAGCATGCTAATACACTAAACTGTGACACTAAACAATAGCATGTTAGCACCACAGTGAATGCTAACATGTTAGCATGCTAATGCACTAAATCCAGATGTAGAACATGCTAAACTTTAAACAGGACCTGCTTAACATCAGCATGTTAGCATTGCCATTATGAACACGTTAGCAGGCTAACAGGCTAATGTGGTGACAAGGTAAACCTGCTAAACAACAGCCAGTTAGCACTGTCACTGTGAAGCATTTCTATTTTTACTAAATTAATATGGTGAATATGATAAACATGATACCAGATAAACAACAGTTTATTTTTGTATTGTATATTAGCATGTCAATAGCTTTGCTAATATGCTATAAAGGACAACCATTAGATTTTCTAAACAACAGCATATTAGCATGCTAATACATTAAACTAAGGTGATGGTCGTGGTAAACATTATACCTACTTAACAACAGCATGCTAGTATTGTGCATTAGCATGCTAACACAATAAACTAAGTCAGTGAGCATTGTAAATATTACACCTGCTAAACATTAGCATGTTTGCCTGCTGATATTTAGCTGAAAGCACTGCTGTGTCTAAATACACACATCAGAGAACTGCTAGCCCTGATGTGGATTGTTAACCTTGTTTTTCACTTAGCATTTCACTCTCTACAATGTACACGTGTGTCTGCGTGCACACATATGTGCTCCCCCATCCTTTTAACTCCACACCCTATCGATAACAATGCACATGGCTGCTCACATCATTAGTATTGATCAGTCTCTGTAGAATGGATTAGGGACGAGCCGGCCTCCTGCTTCTGGAATCAGCCAGATGTACATATACGTTTTATAAACCTCACAATCCATTAAATAACAGACCATTTGTTTTATTTTTAAGTGGGTGTACGAGAATGGAGGGTGAAGCAGAATAGTGGAGTAAAATATGGGAGATGGTTTATATTGAGAAGACTTTGTTTTGCATCCTTATAACACCTAAATATACTGACCTGCTTTATAGACGTGGAAAAGACGGAATTATTTTTCTCTGTGACATGATTTTAAAACATCCAGACAGGAATCTCTTGCAGGGTGGAAACTTCCACACTTGAAACCAGTTAAGATTAAGCACACAGCCAATGAATGCTAATAAATGAGTTAACATAATGTTCTTTTTTTGCCCAGTAGAAGCTGCTGCAACACCCCCTCTCTCCCAACGGGATTCTCAAAACATAAGAGGATTTCCCCCCCCCCATTCATTCCTCTAATTATTATTTTTGCTGAGTAATCAGCGTGTGTGGACACTGATCCATCTGTACCATTAATAATGTATGAGGAGACAGTTACTGAAGATCAACAGGGATTTACAGTATTTCTGTGTCAGGAAGAGAGGCCTAATGTGCTCTGGGTATTTCTCTCCCTCATCTGATCAAACCAAATATGCTGCTTCAACCCACAGATAATATCAAGACATAATATCTGGAACTTCATATTTGATGGATGATGGGAGAAATGCAGATTAATGCCCTTTATGTGACTGCTTAGAGTTCGCAATCTGTATAAAAGAAGAAAGTTTAAATCCATCCATTTTCTAGTGCTTACCCAGGTCGTGGGGGTAAGCTGTTCAATCCACAATGCACAGGACCCCTATGGCCTCTGCTGCAATTGGTGGGTTCACTAGAGCCTGACCGAGCACGTGGATGAAGACCACGGCCACCAGGTGCTCACCGACAAGCCACCTCAATCCGGGCCTGGCTCCAGGTCAGGGTCCCAGTGCACCCACTCAGGGCAAGACATCTTGGTTCTTTGATTTTCTTCCTATAGGAGTCTTTGGAATCACTCATAGCCTCACCGCTCACACACAACCAGTTTACCTTGGGAGACCCTACCAGTCACAATTACCCCTGACAACACAGTTCCTAGATTAGTCGGTGAGGTGGCGATTCACGAGGGGGAGAAAGGTTAAACACGCAGCTTTATCAGGCTCTTCAGAGGAGAGGCTTTCTGTACATTACACTACACTTCATTTGTCCTCTGTATCTCTACGTTGCGTAACAGAGGACGTACTTCAGCAGTGTTCCCCCGCCCGCCACACATGTAGAAAGCTACTGCCCCCTACTGATGCTGCATCAGATATCATAGCTCTGTGCAGACTTCTTTGTTCGCCATGTCAGTGTACATTTAAAGAACACAGAGGATTGCTCCCTTTACATGAACATGTCTTTTCTTAAAAAGTCTTGTTTTCTTTGTTTAAAAAAACAAACAAAACAAAACAAACAAACAAACAAACAAAAAAACTGGATGACCTCAGATTAAGTTTATGGTCTGCATGGACACAATGGCTTAAAAAAAAAATAAAAAATTAAAATGTCTGTAATTTCTAGATATTTCTTAGGTGCTTTCCTGGAAAGGCAACAGCTGTAGAAAAACAGTAATGTAATCCAAGTAGATATTAAATATTTATTTACTATTTATTTATCTTGGAAATCTAATATGTTGAAACGTGTTCAGTATTTAATTTTTGCTTGAAATCTATTGGTTAACGCCAGCAATTAACACAATGAGCAAAACAGACAAACTGGAGATATATATTTTTATATAGATATATAGTTTTTATATTAATATTTGATTTTTACAGACCTATTAAACAAAAAACAAAGAATTTCCAGTCTTGCATGGTGAACAATGTTTTAATCTGACCAGAATTAGGACAGACAGTCTTTGAAGGTGATGTTGTTGCAGCGGTGCTACTGTAAAATATTGAAGGGACACACTTTTGCTTCAGAAATGTTCGTATTGTAATACTTAACATTGCACACTTTAGGAAAAGCTGAGCTTCACTGAGAACTGCCTTTCTGGCACAGTGTCCAATGGGAGTAACTCAGGAATTTTTAAACCCTTACACATGGTGCTTTTGAGAACAATACATGTGAATAAGTGCTGCCCTGTATTTCCAATATTATTACTCTGAGTAAAAAATAATTTTGGTGTTTTTTTGTATGTGAGAAGAAACAAAAGAAAAAAAAAATAAAACAAATAATTTATAATTCCATTTTATTTTCAGTATTACGCAACATTAGAAGTATAAATATCTGTTTTAATATACAACATCTATGACATCCATAGAGCTTTCCTTGGGCAAAATACAAAACTCAAAACACTTTTATTGCACATATTCTAAAAGACAAACCATCGTAAGCAAGTTCATCTAATACTAGTTTTGCACAGAGGAAGAAAGAAAATGAACTGAAAAGACAAGCAGACAAAGAAGAACCTGACGTATGTAAAGACATTATTACTGCACAAACAAATGTTCTTATTAAACATCATCCTGGTGGCGAGGGAGCAGAGTCTCACACGACTAGAAACAACATCATCTGTGACACAGAACATAGATTTGGCAAATCAACAATATACAAAATATACATCCATGATGCTTTGTAAACAAACATTGAATGTGCTTTGAGGATTTAAATGTCTTTCGTCACAGGAAATAAAACGCATGTGTGGGGGGGGGGAGGGGGGAGGGGGGGTTTACACGGTTTGATAAATTCATTCAAATCAAAAGTGTTGGATTCATAAACCACTTTCAGTTTCAGATCCTCCTTTACTCACCATCTGAACTGAATATTGGCAAACATTAAGGTGCATTTGTTCTCTCACAATACATTAGCAATACATTTACAATATCTAATGCAGGTAAACATCAGATTCTTAGAACATTAAAATCTCTGCTGTCAATCTTGTGTTTCGCTTTCATTCGTAGATACAGGAACATTTAGATATATGCTGTGTCAGGTTAAATGAAGTGTTTTCTCTTCAACATATATGTAGTAGACAAGATTATTGTTTCTTTTTTTTTCATTTTTTTATAGCCAGCACAACGGAGCAAATACTACTAGTGTCCTAGGCTACTTTCTGGTCGTCGTTTAGGGTTTTGCAATTTAAAGGCATCTACAGTAAAGAAACGTGTGTCGGTGTGTGTAAGTAGCAAGAAGTGAGTGTGGATATATGACAGCCTCTATGTATAGTACCAAGTATTTGCACACCAACATCAAATTCATGTTGTGGACAAACAATCAGGATTCCTCGTCAAATCTTTGCCCAGGTGAAGCTTTGAGCTGATCGCTGCTCGTTCCGAGTTCCAAACACAAACACATGACTGCAACAACAGCTCGTCTTCCTCACATGATTGATCATACATCACGGTGTGGACACAACCCGACAGGACGCCTTTTAGAAATCTACTGCAGTAATTACCGGCTGGTTCAGCTCGTTAATCAAACACGATATTCTGGATTTCACACAGTCGTCGTTCTACTTAGCCGCCGTCAACGATAAAGACATTCTTGGGAAACGCTGACAGCCCTCACAGTTTTGTTATGTAATGCTACATTTTTTTTTTTGTTTTTTTCTTAGAAATAGCCCAGTTACCCCCTCATGCCTTCTCGCCTCTCTTCAAGTTAATTTTGGAACATGTGGAAACATGTTAAAAGTCACAAAGAAGAGGACACCTTTGATGAGATACGTCGCAGTAGCTTACTTTAGACCACACAAGCAGAACGTGACACTCTTAATATCGAGCATACAAACATGACACTGCAAAATCTATACATATAATACAAACAACAATCATGTAAGCCCATGAATCCCCGTTGTACAATGTCATCATATTTACACCATATTGCATAAAAATCAAAAATATATGTACAGATGTCAGAGGAATGTGAATAAACACCACGTCTTGCTAAGAACAGCAAGTTTTATTTCCCATAAATCTAAGGCCCCTTCACTAATTTATGATTTCTAGAACCAAAGTATGATTCTGTAATTGTTTTTAAATTCTATTTTAGGTGAAAAGCACAGGACATAGTGCGTTTCCTCTGTGTACCACTGCGAGAAACCCAACAGAAAAGCAATCTGATCATACTGTACAGAAACAATACAACAGTTGCTAAGTTGCTGAGCAGAGCTGTGTGGTCTACTGCATTAAAAGACTTCGACATCAGGTCCTCCGAGTCTAGAAGTAAGAGTGCAATTCAAAAATCGTTTATGGCACTGACTGTACAGTACATCGCCACCTCTGTAAGGCTCCTCCCTATTGCCCCTGACATACTGATTGCACAAAGCATTCTGCGATGAACACAAAGAAAATCGTCCAAACATTCACTTAATGTAAAACAGGAGAAAATGATCAGCACACGGTTGCCTACATTCAGACCTAGAAACATCGATGTAAATAATCTTATGAAACACACACGCACACACCTTCCTCTACATCAGCATGTAACAGCTTTCCCGGTCCTCTAACAAAAAAAACAACAACAACAAAAAAAAGAAGGCATGATGATGCTCGCACAAATCATTTCTAACGTTTTATTACACCTCTGAAGCGGTAATGTTGGCTGCTATTTTCCCTCTTGTTACTTTTTGTTGCTGGAACTACGAGGCGACTCCTTCTGCTGCTTGCACCTGCTGGTGTCTTTGTCTGAGCTGTCTTTGAGAGCAGAGGGAGAAGCCCTGGATGTGTCCCTTTTTGTGTTTTTCTGTGCAGACGTGACCTCTTGAGCCGGTTCTTTTTTCTTCCTCTCGGCTGGCTCTTTCCGGCCGGAGGGCGTCTGCTTGTCAGGGGTGGTGGTGGTTCTGGTTTCTGGGGCCCTGTGGCTGTCCGATTTGAGTGCTTCGGACTTGGGGCTGTCCTTGGACACCTTGACTACGGATTCGCAGCTGGAGACTTTGCCTGAGGCGGCTCCGCTGCTCGGTGAATGCGTTTCTTTTTTCACCGCAGGTTTCGGCAGCACTGGGGGGGGATCGGGTTGAGAGGAAACTTGTGATGCTGGCGGAGTCTCCTTCCTGAGCTGCTGCTGAGGTGAAGCAACGTCTTTTGGTTTCGAGTCACGATGGTCTTTAAGGACTGCCGCTTGGTTTTTGGGTGAGGAGTCTTTAGGTTTGGCATCAAGACTCTGTTTAATAACTGGTGTTGGAGCTACAGCCGGCTTTAGAGTTGACGATGTGACAGATTTAGGAGGGACAGATTTTGGCTTTGAGTCTGTGCTGTCTTTTACTGCATGAGTTGAAATTGCTACAGAACCTTTGGGCTGGGTTTTGCTTTGCTTCACGTCAGCATTAGTGGGCGAATGTGTCGGCTGCCCAGATTCTTGGTGCTTTATGTCAGCTCCAGCCGATGGCGGCGGGGCTTCTTTCCGTTTAGCGTCATGGGTTGATTGAACGTTTGAAGTTGTTGCGTGCGCCGATTCCTTGGGCTGGTCTCTCTGTTTTGAATTTGGACTGCCCTTGACGACGGGGACGGGAGGAGCTGTGCTGTGAGATTTCACTTCTAGTGTTTTTGTCTCCTTGTCTGACCTCGCTGACGTGGGTGGTGCAGGTTGTGGATCAGGCCTTGACTTACTCTTGGGACTCACAACATTTTCATTTGTAGCTGCTGAAGCTGAACTTTTCAGTTTAGCTGAAGGGACCACAGTGTCTTCTTTCGTGTTGATAACAGTGTCTTCTTTCTTAGACGTGCAAATTTCTGAATCAGAAGACTTGTGTTGTGCTTTTACAGCTGGATAGCTTTTTGACAGCTGCTCTGAATCTTTCACATTGCCTGTATTCTTTGTCTTTGGTGATATGGGAACGTCTTTACTCTGCAGCAATATGCTGCTGTCCTCTATTGCACCAGCAGACACAGTGTTATCCTTTTTGTTCACGCTCAGTGTGACTTCTGTGATGATATTTAATGATGTGCTCTTTGTAGAAACTTCTCTCTGCTGCTCCACTTTTGCAACCGTAGCACATGTGTTGATTTCCTTCTTGCTGCCTGGATCTCTGTTAGATTGCACATTGTCCTTACTAACAGATGTTTCACAGCAGTCCTGCCGTTCGGATTTCAAGCTGCTGGATTTATTGTCACGTATGGAGCCAACTGCTGATGCTGTGATAGAAACTTGGGGTTGTGTATTTGCAGAACAGATGTTTAACTGTTGCTGTTTTGAAAACACATTCTCTGGAACCTGTGCAGAGTCTTTCTGTGCATTCACCTTAGAAACAGACGTCACGTTTGAGTTCTGTGCGGCAGCTTTTCTTTTCTCACAGCTCTGAAGCTGACCTGTATCCAAACCAGAGTTTACACTTGGCCTCGGTGCTACAGGTAATGGCTCGTTGGCAGCTGCAGCTGGACGCTCTACTTGTGTAGGTGCAGGGAAGGTTTTTATGTCATCTTCCAGCTTTGCTGAAGTCAAAGAGACTACTGTCTTGGAGCTGTCAGTGCTCTGTGATGTAGTGCTTGGTGTGACATCCTGTTGCTCCACTTCATCCTCCTGATCTTCGTTGCTCACTTCCCGTATGGAGGGTGTTTTTCCACATGAGGAGAAGTGTGAGCTGTGCCGAGGGCCTCTGTGGTCGTGAGCCAGTGATGAACTTGCTTTCACGCCCGTCCGGCTCTCTGGTTTAAATGTTGAGGCCTCCACTTTGCTGGTTGAGCCCTTTAATGACTCTCCTCCGAGTCTATCTTGTGTTTTCTCACCACTTGCACTGGTTTTAATTTCTGTGGCTGCATTTTTTGGCTGCTCTTTGGAGATGTTATTTAGAGAAGAAACAGCTTCAGGGTTTAGGGAATAAGTCAGGGGGCTCTTTATCTTGTCTGTAGCCTTTAGCTGGGGGATGGTTATCTGTCTCTCAGTGGGGCTCTGGAGCCAAACTGGACTCACAGACACAGTGTCGCTTGTGTTCTCTGCCATTTTGGACAAGCAAGTTTCTGTTTTGGAGACTCGGGGCCCTGAGAGCAGACCGATATCCAGGGTGCCCTCCAGAGGTTTCAGGGAGGAGACATGGCGTCCTTCAAGTTTATATTCTGATGATGTCTTTCTGAGCGGAGACTCTGCAGCGGAGATGAGCTGGAGTTTCTCCACAGCGCTCTCTCCTCTCCCAGAGAACAGCTTGGGGGCCAGACCCTCAGGGCTGGAGTGAACGCTCCCCAGTCCTGCCTTGATGTGTTCATGGGTGATGGCCGTGTCCAGCTGGAGGCTCTTCGACCTGGTGGAGCCGAAGTGCAGGTTCTCGTGGAGGCCAGAGGACAGCCGACACATGCAGTCTTCTCTCTCTTCGAACGACAGCCTCTTTCTAGTGAACTCGATGCTGGGAGCTTTGAAGTCCAACCTGTCTGGCTTCATGTTGTCCTTCCCCTGCCGTGAGTGCTGCCACTCTGGGTGGATGGAGCAGAGAGCAGATCGGAGTCCTCCTTCACTTTCGCCGCTGCCACCTGAAGGTTCAGCGATGCCCTCAGACGCACGTGTGGTCAGTTTTTTATACAAGACATCTTTAAGTGTTGTGCTAACAGCTTTGACCTCTAAGGGGCTGGACTCTGGGCTGCTCTGGGGTTTGTTTTGGTTTCGGATCAGAAAGCCTTCATCCCTGTCATCGCCACACAAAGACGATGAGTCAGCGTCATGCAGGGCGTCTTGCTTCTGCAGAGACTCCCTCCTCTCTGACCAGTCCTGTCTCTTTACCACCATCTTGGACTTCAGTTTTTCTTTGTCGAGCTCCTCAATAGACTCCTGCCGGCCCATCTTGCGACTGATGGGCCTCTTTAAGCAGCCCTGCTCGACCGGTCGTACGCGGGTGATTGCCAGCGGCTCGCAGGCTGATTCATCCACACTCTGCAGGACGGTGTAATCCCGCTCACCGGCCCTCAGCTCCTCATCCTGCACCTCCTCCTGGGTCACTTCCAAGCTGTGTTTTCTGGAGCACAGGTGCTTCTTATCTCCTGTGTAAGAGGGGGACAGCTTCTCTTCAGACTGCACACGTTTCAGGAGGGGAGAACGAGGCGGCTCAGCACTTTTGGGGCGGACAATGTGGCGCACAATTGTGGGTGGGGAATGTATCTTGGCTGGGAAAGCTTGCGTAGTCTTGGAAATTGCGACCGAGTGTCCACTGAGGAGGGGAGAGGGTGAGCGCTGAGGAGATGTCGGCTGAGGGGTAGGTGAAGGTGTGCGGGCCAAAGGAGAGAGGGGAATGCTGCCGGCGGACTTGCGACGCCCCTGTCGGAGCCTTTGACCGGGCAGTTTGGGGCCGAGGCCGTGCAGGGTGCTGGGACGGATGTGGCCTGAGCCTGCAGGGGAGTTTGGAGCGCTGGAGCTGGGAGAGCTGCTCTGGGAAGAGTTCCCTCCTGCAATTCATGAGCACAAAAAAAAAAGAACAGAAATGGGTCATTACTCAGAATATAAATACAATTCAAGCTATCATCAAAACAAGATAAAATCTCCACCTGACTGGGTGAAATCTGGAGCGGGGCGGAAGGCGGCGGTAGGGGAACGAGGGGAGAGACTGTGGGTGGGGGAGCCAGGGAGACTCTCACCAGATGACAGGGAGTGGTTGAGAGACGAGAAACTGCGACTCGTGTGCAGAAGAGGGGAAGGCTGCATGGCAAAACGTCTGAAAAGGGAGCGCCGCCTGCAAAACAGAAACAGAGATGAAGAAAAAAGGAATCAGTCCACTGTGACATTCCGGGCTTATGACACCTTGTTAAATAAATGTAAATAAATAACACAGCAAACATGGACAATACTAAAGATGTGCAGATGTAACTTCCAGGTTCTCCTTTAACATATAAATATAACCTTTGAAGGAATGTTGTCATTACACAAATAAAAATCACAAAAATTACACCTTTTAACAGAGCCAGAAACTGTAAAAAGAAAAAAGAAAAGAATAGAAAGAATAAGCGGATTTTCTACTCTCAGACAGTCGCTGATCTGAGCATCTGTCATCTGTTGTTCTGTTGAAAAAATGATCTAAATCTCAGCTTAAAACCATGATATTTCATCAAAGTCACTGTAATCTAAGCTGTGATGAGCTTTAACCTATGAATGAATCAACTAAAACAAACAGTCGCGTGACAGAAATTACGATACTTTTCTGCTGACTTTGCTGAACTGTGTTTTCAGATATGGAAACAGATCTAGTGGCATTGTTCGTAGCAAAAAACATACAGCATGTAGAGTCCTTGTCCCAGCATTGGCAACAACTATGGGGCACTTGAAAAAATGTTGTATATGTTAATTCCAGGTTTTTCATTTTTGTAAAATATACAATTAATAAATTTTTGAGTTCTCTACTTCTATTCATGGTTGTGCTGTTTCCATAGAGGTGCAAAAGGAGTGTGAAAAATGTGACAGGTGTAAAAAAAAAAAATGCCCAGAAACTGCTGGGAGTTCAGAGGGTTAGCTGTTTTAAGATGCAAAACAACCCACTGATCCTTTAGGGTTATGACTCTCACATTTAAATATTCCCTGAGCGTCGTCTGTCTGCCCTCTAGAGGCCAGCAGGAAACTTAGTGATGCTCCCCGCAGGAAATGAGATCATTCACTTACCCAGATTTCCTGCAGAGCTGCAGAAACAAAACTTCTGTGCTAACAGAAAGAAGTATAAGGGCAGGAATTCTCCCCTGAGCTCCTCATTAGCTTTTAGGGAGTTAGTGTAGAAACTAGGACCAGACTTTGGGTAGTGAGTCCTATATTAGTACAAAGTTCTGACCTTTTCCATACCTGTAACTCCCTTATTATCTACGTTATACGTTATGTGCTTTGTGGAGGTGTATGTTGAAAAAATAAATATGGATATATAAAAATATATGGATATGGATAAAAATTAAGTATCGCAGTAATGAAGTTTTAAGCAGTTTTTAAATTGTTATGTTGTCAACGATTACAACTCCTCATGTGAAGCATCTTCCTAATATCTTATTATATATATATTATTATTATTACCATGTAGTAAAGTTGTAATGTAACCATATACATTTATGTGTACACAGGTGAAAAGTAGGTAAGTAGATTTACTTGAGTACAATTCTGAGGTACTTGTACTTGACTCGAGTTTTTCCATTTCAGACTACTTTATACTTCCACTTTTCCTTTCAGAGAGAACTATTTTACTCTATATGATTTAAAACATGTAGTTACTAGTTATTTTTGAGGTGAACATTTCATACAACAAGCTTTTAAAATGCAACACATTTTTAAATATCAAACCAGCGGTACTCCTAACACAAAGCAGTGTGTAGTCGAGGTCACATTTCAGATGTCTATGAGTTCTTAACAGCTCCACCAAACAGGGATTTTTCCCTCTGAACTTCTCACATGGTTTAATTTCAATGAATGCTCACATGATCCATTATCTCAGCAAAAATCAAAGATGAGAGAAAAACTGGAAACAGATTTTTGTATCAGATTTTTCTCTTCTTCTTTCCTTCTGATCAGATTTACTTTCATCCTTTTTATTGCTACTAATACTTGTGTACTCTAAGTAATATAGGACTTTTCCTGCAGGGCACTGACTTGTACTGTAGTTTTTTTTTTAACACTGCTGTGTCAGTCCTTACAGTGAAGTAAACATATGACTACTTCTTCCTCTATGCCATGTATTAATTCATTCTCTCTCACGACATTTGAGCGCTGACAGGGCCACAAAAAGAAGCTGAAATCTCTGGAAGGTCAAAGTAATGTGTGTTTCCATAAGATTGAACCCATTTTTGTACAGCTTTAAACATTATTGTTCATACATATGGTTACAGCAATCTCACACCAGGTTAACAGTCATAAGTTCTATAAGTACAACCACTGAAATGTTTACAGACAGTACAGCATATAAATGCTAAATAAGAGGTTTAAAATAAACTCACATCATATTAGTTTCTTTGGAAGATTTGTACCTTTCTGGTGTCTTCTCCTTCTTGGGCTTTTTGCCACATCGGACCATCTTGCTCCTGTAGCTGTTCCTCCTGGCGGGACCCGTTTTTATAGAAGTGTTTTCAAAGGGGGTGGTGGAAATGGCCACTTTGCTGCCACTCTGAAAAGGAAGGACAAAACATACTTAAATATATATACAAATATATATATAGAGAGAACATGTTTAAAAGCCCAAAATACTGTCTATGCTGATATCACTGTGGTTTATACAAATCCTTCCAAAAATCTAAATCAAGATCAGATTGCAAGACTGTTTCATTTATTTTTACTTTGATTGCAGCCGGGGTTCATGTTAATACCAATTCTGGAATACAAGCTTTACTTTTTCCACTTTTAACATTTGCACTGTTAAGTTGCTGATGTTTACTGAATGTGAAACTAAAGCATAAAGATTTAAGAATGTTTAAAGATGAACACACTTTGTTGGGTACCTTCAGCAGGAGCTCCACCACCTCGGTGTGGACGAGGCCGTGGACTGGTTCTCCGTTCACATGAGTGATGAGGTCTCCAGCTTTGAGTCCAGCTTTATGTGCAGGTCCGCCGTCTTCTACATTCTGATCAACAGACACAAGAGAGACAGTCTTCATTATTATCCCATGAACTAACTGGTAATTCATTTACTGGACAGCTTGATGATGGAATGATAGATGTGGCAAAGACACAGAAGTGGAAAAGAGGCATTTAGTTACTGCGTAGTTGTCACATTTCACACACTTTTTGCTGGCATCCAGCAAAAATACAAGGAAAAGGACACAAACTCTGCAGTCCTCTGGTTTAGAGCTGCAACTACACATTATATTCCTGATTCATTAGCCCGCTGAACTCCAAGCAGTTTCTGGGTGATTTTAGTTCCAGTCACATTGTTACCTACTGTTTTCACTGCAATACAAAAGTTCTGTATCGTTACAGAAACAGCACAATTATGGCTGGAAGCAGAGAGAACTTTAAAATGTCTTTTGTGCTGTGTGACACAGTTGCAATTACATAAATCATAAAAAAGAAAAACTAAAGATTTTTTTTATCATTTAATTACAAAAATTGAAAAAAACTTGAATAAACATATAAAACATGTTTTTAGCTGTCACCAGTTACTAATGGTGGTTTTACATTCTATAGATGTTTTACTGCTTATACCAGTCTTCTATCTGCCCTGTGTAAACACAGCCTCCAGTTCAGTCTGTTCAGCTGAACAGTACGTGAAGTTTTGCCACGTGACCTTTTTTCTGTTTTGACAGAATCTAGTTAGAGCAAAGGGTGGATTTACTTTTTGAGAATCTTTGAATGAGACATCTGAAATATCACTGTTTTAAGCTTGCACTTGGTTAGGTTTCCCAGCTGAATAGCATGCCACAGATTAATAGATCCGGGACCATCAGAAAGCTGAAAATGCAACAGCTCTTTGTGTTTTTACAGTTTCTGGCCCTGGTAATGGTGGAATTTTGGTGTTTTTTTTTGTTTTTTGTTTTTTAAAGATGAAATGTCGTTCAAATTCAGCACTGAGATCTGAGGTTAAGAGGGTTAATTTATTCTGCTGATTATTTTTCTGGTTTAATTCCTTAGAACAGTGAAGAAAAAAAAAGCCTTTCACAGTTTCCTCAGTCCATCTTCAGTTTGCTTGTTTTGTCCAATCAACGACTGAAAGTATAAAGATATTTCTTTGAATGTTGAATACGACAACAAAAACAGCTTGAACCACACAGAAATGTGTGTGTGGGAGAGTGAGTTTGAATTAATCAATAAACGATCCAAATGTTACTCTGTTTTGGGTTCGGTCCACTTGGATACTGAAACCAAGACCTTCCATTTCACTCAGCCTTGGACCTGAATTTGACTCAAAATAACTCAGCAGCTAAAGTTTTGTGTGAAATGCACCAAACAGATGAGTTGTGTGGCTCCTCACTGACTCATAACTGATGACATGTGTGCTCCATGCTGACATAGTCCTTACCCAGACCATGTGGTAGACAGTGTAGATGTCACTGTCACAGGCGTACACCCGGATCGCCCTCAGCGTGAAGCCAAACTTCTTCCCAGAGCTGTGAATGACGACGGGCTGCCGCGGGTTGGTGGTGCAGAGGGAGGAGTCTCGGCTGGGGGAGGAGTCTCTGGAGGACGGGTCTGAGGAGAGGGAGTATGGAGAGAGGGGGCTGGCGAGAGGAGACACCCCGAAGATATCTGGGGAGAAAAAAACAAGAAGGGATGATGACCACCTGAGCAGATTCTTTTATTAAATCAATCAGACTTTAACCGGCCCTCAAGTCAGTGCTGAGGTGTTGCTGTAAAGCTGCGAGCCTGGTTCCAGTCTGCGCCTGCTGTGGGTGAAACTAATAGGATTTTCTCTCCCAGCAGTGGAGACCTCTTGCTCCGGCCCTGCCTGCTTATTTTCCTTGTTAGCTGCTTCTGCTCGGCTATTTGCTCGCAGCCACTCTCTAAAATGGAACTCCCAGCAGGTGTCACGCTGGGCCAATTCTGCACAGATCCACAGTGAGCTTTCATCTCTTTCACATTATTTGTCCAAAGTCCGCGGCTCGCATTGTAATTCCTGACACGTTATTGCTCTAACATGCTGCTTGAAGATCATATTTTTGAATCAACATCAGTATGCTGAAGAGGGTCCGTGTGGTGTCTCTGACTCACCCCCGGGGATCATAAGGGAAAGGGCACCGGTGGACACAGACTTGGGGACTTTCGCCACAGCTCCAGGCTTCTCTGCAGCACTCTCTGGTCGCAGCGTGGAGGTCTGAGGCGCCTGGTCTGTGGTGGACGTGTGACTGGTGCTGTCAGGGCTCTCCACGCCCTCACCTCTGGGTGTCAGCTGGTCCAGATGTTCTGAGAAGCTACCTACATTTCACAAATGATGAGCACATTGTGAGGAACACAGTGGGTATAGCTAGGAAAGACTTGCATTCATGAAACAAAAGTTTGACATTTTGGGAAATATGCTTATTTGCTTTTTAAATAGATGAGAACATTAGTGCCAGTGTCACACTCTGAACCATAAATACAAAGCTGAAGTCAAGGAAGATGAGTAAAAACATGAGTTTGTAGTGAATATATTTTGCTCGAAAATAAGCAGTGTTTTTTTATATAGTTTTCTACTCTAACATGCAATTGTTAAAGACTAATACAAATTTTAATGTCATCAGTTTGCCATTTGGCCTGAAGTTAATAATTTTTGTTCACAAATGTTTATATTGATAAACTATAATTTCATATTTATCATACAGACATGAGTAGAACTGATCCCTGTGTCTGAATCTACACAAGAAAGCAAACAAGCACATTTCCCAAAATGTCAACCTATTTTTTTCAAATTTGTTATCAATATTGTGGCATCTTGACATTATCATCCACACTCATCTTCAGTTCTAACTGAATCAGCCAAAAACAAGTAAAGACATTCAATAATTCCCCCAAAATATCTCCCAAACATCACCATCAAGGTTGTTGTCCAATGCTGACTCAAAAACAAACACAAATAAAGATAATATGTGGAGAGCTTTCTGCCGGTTGTATGTAGCCATTCATTGTTTGAGAAAGCTCAAAAATGTATTAATCGTTTGAAATGAAAACCAGGCACATCTATCATAGCCGTGCACAATGCGACTGTAGACACTGTACCGGAGAGCGTGGCGCCGCTGTGAGTGCTGCCAGGAGTGGTGGCGTCGGGTTCGTCCTGTGGGAGCTCCCCGATGGAGAAGGAGGCCTTGCTGGGGTCACCGAGGCCAGAGGTCTCGTCTCCTTCGCTCTCAGCTGAGATGGCAAACTTTGGTAGCAAACTGGGGCGAGGGCCCTGATTCAGACTGTCAGTGTCCGTCGAGTGGGACAGCGAGGGCCTGAATCAAAGAGACGACAGAATCTCATGAGAACAGGCTTTCTGGAAAAACCTCATGTTTCAATACATTGCACATATAGGTTTACCCATTGTCATTGTGATGGTTTCATGAGATAGCTGGTGTTACCTTCTTCACACACAACTACCCTCCAGACACAAACTGCATGTAGCCGCACTGCTGATGAATTTAAAAAAGTGAGCCCAAACTTCACTTTGTTCTGTCCCTCATCAGGCTGCTGCAGAGAGCAGCCAGCAGCCGGACAACAACACCACCTCATCAGCTGACCCCGGCAGCTTCGACGCCATTAGGGGACACTTGCAGTCTATGTTAGCTTGAAATAATGTCACGCAGTTTACCGGTACTGAATTAATGACCCGGTCATGTACCGGTAATCATTAACACCAGTACTCGGTACCCATCACTACTCATGAATCAATCAACACACAACAAATGTCAATGTGAGAATTCTGACCATCACATGCTTTAGAGGTGATTGGATAGTTTAGTGCTTCAAAAATGCAGATACATTTCAGCCAAATTATGCAACAGTGAATATTCCTATATTTCCTCACATGCAGTGATTGTGTGGAGCTTTGCTTTGCCTGCACAGGCCTCCAGCAGCGACCAACAGTTCTCTGGAGCTCCTCAGTTAATGTTGTTGTGAAGTTTTCTTTGTGATTTGAGTGAACAAGGTGAGACTCTGCTCACATCTCTTTAGTTTAGTTTATCTGAAGTTAACATATCTTTGTGTATTTTCCAGTTTGTGATTGTTAGATTCTGTTAGTACGGAGTGTATCGTTTTTATGAAGAAAGAGCTGTTTCACCACATTTACTTATGACACTTATTTATGCCATCACTGCCCAAAGAAAAGGGGGCAGTTTGTTGGTTTCGAGGCATTCCTGGTGCTGTCAGCAGAGTTATTTGGGTCACTATCTCTTCAGGTAAGAAAACAATGTGATGATGCAGAGCTCGACAAACAAAATGCTTGAGTATTTATGATTAGAATATTTTATCACTTTGTAAATTATTTTGTAAATTTAAAAGACTGTATAATATCAGTGTTCCCACCAATAGAAGAATCTCTTCAATAGCAGTATTTTCTACTCATGGAGGAATCTGTGCACCATCAATGTTTTGTTTTCCACATTTAATATATTCCGCTGCTTATTTTCTACATTCAGAGAGATCTGCGGATTATCAGAATTTTCTGCATGTAGAAGAATCTGTACAATATTAATGGTACTTTCACTGCTGTGGGATTATCTTATCTATAGGGTTACAGGTTGACTGCTAAGTTCAGTGATGGGTGTGCGTCACATGACAAGTGTTAAAAACAGAGATCTTAGGTGTTCTAGAAAATGAGCCTTAAAATGCTGCTTTCTTAACCTATGCACTGTAGACTAGAGGAATGCCATTACATATCTAGGAAGCTGATGTGTATTTGAAAGTAGGACTTAGAGTTTTTTACAAGGTGTGGAAACCTTGCCTAAGGAGGCATTTATAATAAGCCAATAGGAAAAGCTTTTGGTGTTCACTGTCATGTTAGAAATAAGCCTTCATTCTTGTTCATCTCTTTCAGACACAGAGAGAAACATGCTGGGAAGATTTCCTTTCTCCTCACTGCACAGAAAAAACTTACGGACAACACAGCGAGGGGCTTGTTTTACGACTTGAGGTACTAAGACTCACGCACTATTTCCACAACACTGAATTTCAGTGGCCCTTTGACTAATAATAAAAATACTATTAGACTAACATTACTTGCTGCCTTGTTTCATAGTTCCCCATAAGCTTGAAGCACAGTGAAGAAAGGGACACCCAGTGCAGCGGTGCTTTTGCCTCATGGAATTTAAATTAAACCTCCGAGATTTAATATGGATGAAGATTCAGGAAGTGGAGTTTGTATTTCTCACCTCAGATTTGTTCAGGAGCAGACTTTAGTGCGCTGCTAAGGTGAAATAAGTTTAAGTAGCCTACTTTCTACAACGGATCCCTGTGACTCATGCTCAAACCTCATTTGCTCTCAGAGCTCGAGCCTCAGGGAGAAGGATCGCAGTTGGACCCTTGTTGTTTTTCCACAGTGCGCTGAAATGAAGCTTATGCATAAGTTCAATAAGGAAGATATGTTCTCTTAGATTCTTTCTCTTCCTGCTACACTATTCTCTCACTTTGCCCATGCTATCAAAGTCACTCCACTCTTAATACTAATCCTTACTACAGACATCCAATGATCTGTCTGCCTCCATTTTTTGAAATCACTACAATTCTATCACTGTGCCTCTCGGTACATTCATCCCCCCTGATTCCCCATCTCCACCTCATCTATGTCTCCAGAGCATCGGAGCCAGTCCTCATCAGACAACGTTTCTGCACCACCACCAGCATCGTCACTCCTGCCATTATCTGGGAATCTGCACCTTAATGTTGCTCCCCATCACAGTCTAACCACCAAAATCTTATCAGTTGCATGGTCATGTTTCTGCAATTAACTTTATTTCTCCACTCCATATGATCTCTCCTTATTGAACTAGACTTCATAAGGGTAAAGTTTTAATGAACTCTAGCTCTCATCTTGAATCAGAGGTGGAGGTGTGCATACATTTCAGCAAAGTCTGGCGTCCAGCTGAGAGAGTCGACAGTCAGCGGGCTCTCGCTCTTCTTCTCCTCCGTCTCTCCTTTCTCCTCCAGGTGCCCACGAGACAAATCCAAGCTGCTGTAAACCTGAAAATCAAACAGACAGTGATTCCCTTCATTACATGCAGGCTAGAAATGCAAGAAGTGTGCAGATATTCAAAAGCAGAGTGTAACAAGATATTCTGCACAGATGTTAAGTAAACTGTCATTGCGGCCTTTGATTTATATGTAAGGATTTTTCTGTTACGCACTGACTTCATTGTGTCTTACAAGCATGAAGTTTAGGTGCAGCTGAGGAAAAGGTTGAGTGTAGCTCAATACTTCCTCTGAGACACCCTGCTGCTTCTTGAGACACACTGTAATGCTTTGCTTTGATGTAAGAGGGGAGCATACTGCAATGCAGCACAACAATGACTCCCAGCTTGTATGACTGTATTGTGTATTGTGTCACACATCACCACAAAAGGGGAAAAAAAAACAAAAAACAGATCTGATTTGTAAGCGGAAAATATATGCAAAGCTGAAATCTATGTTTAATACTGTGGGGGTAAAGGGAGAGCAGGAGGGATCCATGTTTTCTAGACACAAATTTACATATGAAATACCAACCGCTCGTTCTCTCTTTCCCATGAGAAAAAGATCAGGACAAATGAGGGCATCGGCTCATTTACATCACTAACGTCTTTGGCAGTAATGATAATGCTTACATGTTAGCTGGAGACTAGGACAGTTTGAGGAGGGAGATTAAAGACACACCTTGGAGAATCGGTGAGAACACGAGGAGAACTGCCGCAGCTCCACGTTGAAGTCTTCATCGTTCGTATCGTCTTCCTCCGTCTCCAGGTGATGGTACCTTTCAGAGCGAGCTGGGGAGGAGGGGAGGTGTACGTTTCAGATGGTTTTAATTGAATTCAGTTATTGCAGATTATTATCACAGCACCAGAAAGTGGGTTAAGTGGCAGAAGATAGATTACAATCACCTTGAAAGTCTGGCTCAGTTTTCACTCCCTAAATTTACAGGTTTTAGCAGAGTCGCTGCATGTCTTAACCGGGCATGTCATATACTGTTATTATGAAACAGGTTAGGTTGCTCATAAAGTGCTAATCTAAATTTGCATCGGATTTGTAGAATACTAGGACAGTGTTTAGGAAAAACAGCTTTCTCAACCCCCAAATTAGCTGCAGTGAGTTCTGTTTGCATGTAACCATGGATGTAACTTGACACTTAAGAAAACATGAAACATATTAATACTGATTGTATCGGGAAAGATCTGAAGAAAAGTTACAAGGAGCATATATTTTCTAAGATTTCCAAGCAGACATACAGACGCTCATCAGCAATGGAAACAACCCAGGTGTGTCAGAAAAGTTCCAGGACTGGTGTCACAAAAGATATATTACAAACCCAAACTACAAACTAGGAGTTTTCTCCTTCAGAAAATCAGCCAGCACGTCTACAAAGAGATCCTGCAGTGTTTGCTTCGTTCAGTGCGCGAGAAGAGGCGAGAGTTGTCGCAGGACAAGTCGTGGCTGCTTCACCATGACAACACATCTGCTCACAATGTCCAGAGCATCCGACAGTTCCTGGTTGCAAAGAATTTGGCCGTGCTGGAGCAACCTCCCTACTCAGTCCACCTGGCTTCTTGGGATTGTTTCCTCTTCTCCAAGCTCAAAGAGGTCATCAAGGGGACCCGTTTTGAAGACATAGATGACATCAAGATGGCTGTGACGATGGAGCTGGATGGACGGATCCTGTTAGAATCCTTCCAGGAGTGCATGGCGACGTGGCAGAGAAGGCTGGGAAAGTGTGCTAGACTCCAGGGGGATTACTTTCAAAAAGGAAAACTGGTAGTTTGTAGTTTGGGTTTGAAATATATCTTTTGTGACACCAGTCCTGAAACTTTTCTGACACACCTCATATACTGTCAAAAACTTCAGTGAATTTTGAGTAAAACTGTTGTGCCTCTTGGATAACTCACTGTCGAAGTAGCTCGTATCATCTTCAGACTCCAGCTGTGGAATAAACTCAGCCTTCTGCCTCAGCAGGCCGTTCCAGTCCAGGTTGTGGAAAAACGGATGCTGCTTCACTTCAGCTGCTCCGCCTGAAGGTGGAACAAAAACAGATGAATTAGAATAAAGTTTTCTGAGCAAATGTGAAAATTGCTTGTGAGAAAAACACACACACAAATCACTGGACACTGACATTCAGCGGTTCGGTTAAACACAGGAGGTGAAGAAACGCTTACGTTACGTTTCCCTTCTCCCTCATGGCTGCCGGCCAAAACCGATATCATGACCATAAATTATGCAGCACAATTTCCTGCCCGTGACCTTTAGAGGAATAGCAGCAGACTTTGTGAATGGCAGCGTGGCGAGGGGAGATGAACAAGGAGGTCCGGCTGTCCTCAAACTGAACCAGCTATGTGCATCGCCCTGATTTAACGCCCTTGTCGCAGGTCACGGTCACTTTTACACTCTGCAGATCTACATTCTCGTAGTGCCTGATCATTCATGAAACTAGATTCATGGACGAGTTGGAAATGATTGCAATTGATCAAAGGGAAGAGGTGAGCAGGCCACAGGATAAACTGCTCGGCTGTTGGATGACCTCAATTTCTTCCCCTGTGACATGGAATAATGAGCAGTGCTGAGGTGGCACATGAGAATTTATGGCGGTCTGTTGTGCCTGTCTAATCCTAACCGAGTTACTGGCTGTCCCACATTTTCTTTGCACTTCCTACCTGCTCCCATCCTTTCCAGAGGATTCTGTCGGAGCAGCAAGGTGATGAGCTCCTGAGCGTCGGGAGGCGGAGCGTCTTCTCCGTCAGGCCAGTTGATCTCATCTGGAAATGAGTTTCAAAATTACTCCATGTCCAAGCAAAACATGACTCTCACGCTGTTGTTTTTTTGGAAATGGAAAACATTTAGCTAGAAAATAAATACATAGGTTTCAGTGCATGAGATTATCATGAGATGTTGGTGCACACTGGGTGACTGAGGGGTTATAGCTGTTTAATAAATACTGCAAATGTTTGTCAGGCTGAATGACGAAAACATTGGTGATCAATTTGGAGTTTCAGGGCTTGTACTTGATGACAGCTAACTGATGGAGGTGGCAGACTGATGGCTTTGAATGGAAAATGTACCATTTTGTCACACTTTAAAAATGTCACAGAAAACAGAATAATAATAAAACAGAAAAGACAAATTTCATGATCCTGTGCGGTTGATAAATATGTTGAAGCAGGATTTATGGTGTCACTGAACAACTTTGAATGCGAACAACCAACCGCAACACTATGAATGATTGTCTGGAAATGGACCTCATAAATCCCATGAACACATCTGGCATCTATCTGTTGACAGGTTTAATCTGATGCTAAGCAGCAGCAGCAGGTTGCACCACTAGCCCTCGGTGGTAGGTCGCTTCTGGTCATGAATAGTGTTTTGAACTTTACATTGGTTGCTCAAACCAAAGACTTAGTCCTAATTGTGCTGATGTGGCTTTGGCTGTTGGATTGCTACGATACATGGTTAGCAGTTTCCTACTGTCAATTTCTGATTTGTGGCTACTATGGAGGATCAAAGAAGAAGAAAAGTAAACTTGACATAATGAAACTAAGAAAATGAACAGAGCTGTACACTCAGCAGAAGAACACTCTGGCTGGTAAGCAGCCCAACCTGTTAACAAGCAAGAAGGAACAGTTGACTTGGAGAGATCAGAGGCTCATCTCATTTTGCTCATTTCAGCTTCCAGAAATCAGTCTTGGCCTGCCATCATAGAGGATGTCTCAATTCCTAAAATGCATCTCAAGGACAGGATTAAAGACTGAGGAGGCTTGTTTGAGGATACAAGGTACAGTATGATGTACAGGTGTATCCTATATGTCTTTACCCATCACATGAAAGAGGCGTGACAGGAGTAGAAGTATCATGGCTACTTGTGACCACTTTATTATAGCCATGTTGACCAGCTAGAGACAACTTATATCATTACATACCTTAAATGTGTCATGTAGTAAATGAAAAGGTTTTTGGACTACAAAGATTTTTTTTCTTTAATTCTACTACTATATTTCATGGTGTGACAAAACTGAAGAATGGAATTGAACAAATCAAAGTCAGTTCAGAGGTCTAAGTGTAGCACTGCCTGAGATCACTCACATGTTCTCTCGCTTTTAGTGAAAAGCTTCATGGATAAGCAGTGAAAACAGGAGCAAAGCCTGTCTGCACCATGCTGATTGGCTGTTCTCTGCACCGTTTGTCCCCCATTTTAATCAAATTTGGGTGCGAGCTATGAATATGTATGTGCGGCCTGAGGCCACGGTGGCACGCATTCAGCGTGTTCAGGCCCCTTTAATTAACAGTCACTCTCAGAGGCTTGGTACAGTTTGATTGAGAGCATACCAAATCAGTCATGGCATGCCATTCATTTCCATGGCACAAATAGAGGCAGCAATTCAACAACCCCACATAGCACAATTCATCTGAGCCACAGCGCTGACAAGATAAAAGCTCCTGTTTTGGAGATTAAGATTTTCCCTGTGCTGTCACCATGAGACTACAACAGAACAAAGTAACATCATCATAATATTAAGGCCTCACTTGTAGTCTAAAGTCAAGCTAAATACACTTACTGCCATCTGTTTTTCTACTGGCCTTCAGGGAAATCTCCGTCTTCAATAAATTAAGAAATATGCAACTAATTCCATGTGGTCACTGTGTAAATGTTTAATTCATGTCTGAATGAGGTCTGGGAATTTCTCCTGATGTGCTCGACAGCATCTAAATGCCAGATGCTGTGAAATGTTGCCTAAACCACCTCTAGACGCAGGAAAAATGTCATATTTGAAAACTGAATATAAATAAGTAGTAGCAGTTTGCTCATTAGGATTTTTTTTGTTCTTGTCACATCTTTACCTACTGTGGGCTTGTGTCTTACTGTGATGTAAAATCCTCTCCAAAATTCAGTGTAAGTTGAATTTCTTTGATTATTTATTTTTAAAAAATGAAAAAAACTTGAGATGTGGAAGGTGCCCACTGGTGTTACCAAACAAGGGGAAAAATAACAGCTCTACATACTATAGATAGATAATTTGTTTCCAGACTCCTTTCTGCTCTATGTCAGCACAGCATTGGACATTAAGTACAAATGAGGCTAATTCAAATATTATTGGACATATTTCGCAGTCGCATAATAGCATTTACTTCACCTCTGATTGTGCTGATTCCTTTCTTGTTTAGAGCCAGGTTCCCATTTGTTAAGACTGAGTGCTTTACAAATCAGTTTTATTGTAGAGTTGGTTATTAAATATGTTTGTATATAATTTAGGTTAACAATGATTAAGAAAGTAATACTGGTCAAACAATGAAGAACTTCCCAATGGGTGGTCGATGCTTGTCCGAGGATGACCAAAGTTATTTCATGACATGTTGTAGGAACCATTTCTCCAAATGCCAAAGCAATCCATCAAGCAGTTGTTGGGATATTTCAGTCTAGACCAACAAGGTGATGGAAGTCTCACGTTTTTTGTTTGTATTTAAGGATGAAGGGACGTAATACTCACCGCTGATGACCTGTCCAAACAGCTCCTCTGGTGTGTCTCCAAAAAAAGGCACACAGCCCACAAGGAACTCGTAGAGGATGATGCCCATAGCCCACCAGTCCACCGGCTTCCCATAGCCTTGTCTCAGGATCACCTCTGGAGCAATATACTCTGGGGTTCCACATACCTACACACAGGAACAAATAAATGTCCTAAACATCGAGAGCTTTGTGAGGGAATGTAGAGCCGGCCAACATATCCTCAGGGTTCATTTACCTGCTTGTCAGAGAACTCCCTGGCATCTTTCTCTATGTGTCCCTCGTACAGGTTAGTGGTCATGTTCATCAGCCCGACTTTGGAGAGGCCAAAATCTGTCAGCTTAATGTGTCCCATTGAGGTCACCAGCAGACTGTGAGGAGGAAAGACAAGAGAGAGAGAGAGTGAGAAGGTTTGAAATGACTAAATACAGTAAAAGTGTTAAAAGACTAATACCAAGAAGCATGCCATGTTTTTTCCATTTTTCAAAAAAATGCAAAAATTAGAACTGTCAAAGTGGAAGAGAACAAACACAGCTCATTTTTAGGTTTTGTTTTCTTCATTTCACAAAGGATAACAGAAAAAATGATATTACACAAAAAAAATAACAAGCTGGTTTTCCCACTTAGCTTTAATCATTTTTTGGTGGTAATGGATGAAGGAAAAATGACCCAGAATTCTTGTTTTTGGTTTAAAACTGAATTACACCAAAGAAAGTTTCCCACTTTGTTACATTGGATTTGCAATGTTGACGGACACTGGAAAATGGATTCAAAAAGGGAGCCAGTTTGCTTGCTTTAAAGTAGAAAAAATAAAAAACATTTGGTATTTAAAAGGATATGTAGAATATCCTTTCGTACCCTGACCCACATCCAACAAATCTGCAGCAACACAAGAATTCACTGTGTTTCTGTTTCCCATGAACAAATTCAGTCCAAAATATACTCTCTTTCGGTCTCCACCAACTCCTGAGGCCCTTAGTTAATGAAAATGTCTACTATATTTACTATATTGTTGCTAATATTTTCTGTCTGCTGGTATTGAGCAGGTCGTGTACAGTTAGTTCTGTCGTGCAAGCTGCCTGCTGTGCCTGATCACTATTATGTGATAAACCAAAGCAAGAAAATTATAAAAGCCAAAATGTGCCACACAGCTGCAGGTGTGTTCTCTATGGGTTCATCACCATAAACTGGAATTGCTAAATATAAAAAATACTGTTTATAGCTACTTTAAAATGTATGAAATCTCACTTGTCAGGTTTGAGATCCCGGTGGACGATGCCGTAGTTGTGGAGATACTCCAGAGCCAGTACTGTCTCTGCAAAGTACATCCTGGCCATATCTACAGGAAGTGGACCCATGTTCTTCAAAAGGGTGGCACAGTCTCCTCCTGTACAGATCCAAAGTGATGTGACAAACAAGCTTCAGATAATACACACAAAAAAAGTTCAAAGTGCACTGCTTTCAGCTGCAGCATTTTACTCTATAGAGAACCAGCTACTGACCTTCGACATACTCCATCACCATGCATAGGTGCCGCCGTGTCTCAAAGGAGCAGTACATGGACACCACAAAAGGGTTCTCAGCAAAGGTGAGGATGTCTCTCTCCACAAAGGCCTGTTGTATCTGATTCCTCAACATCAGATTCTGCTTGTTGATCTTTTTCATGGCGAACCGCTGCTTAGTTTCTTTGTGCCGAACCAGATACACAGCTCTGTGGAATAAACAGTTTACCTGTCAGCTGGAAAACACTGATCTAAACAACAGCTCCGCTTACTATCAAGTTGTCAAATTTGGAGTCAATCATCGTATCTGTGTCAAAAGGTATTAAGGGAAGCTGTGAGTGAAGAAAGGCAAAAGATAAGATGGATCTCTTAAAATAGAAATAAAATTCACATTTTAATGAATTTGCAAACAGTTGTTGGGCTGTAACAGAGCATCCATCAGCAGAGATTAGATTATCTGATATAGAAGACATCCTCACCCATAGGCCCCGTTGCTGATTAGCTTTGTCATCTCAAAGTCTAATTCACAGGGTTTCCGCCGGGACCGCAAAGCTGTGCTGAGGCTCTGAGACTGTGGACAAGAGGAGAGACAAATACAAAAACAAATCAGAAAGATAAAATCTGTATTTCATTGCTGCGCCTGCAGTAAAGAAGGACCAGATCAATAAGATGATCAATGTCTGAGCGCTTACAGAGTCATCCGTTTCAGGGGTTTCTGCAATCCCACTGTCACAGCTGGTCAGCTGAGCAATTTCTATGGAGAGAAAACAGATTTTTATTTTTATTTTTTTTAAAGGAGCAAAAATGCAGCAGTTTTACTATAAAAACGCAGATGTGGGTGTTTTATAAATCTACAGCTTCATGTGAGGCTCACTAATAGTGCAATTATTGAAACAAAGGCAACTGACATGCTGAGAAATCAGGACATTTAAACACAACAAAACAGCAGACTTCAGGCTTTATTCACCCATAAGGCTGGAGGTGCTGACTCCAAGATAACCTGAATTGAGGATAAATGGGGCGGAAATCAAATCTGGCGACACAAACGCACGTCTAACACTCATTTTGAAAATCACCACTCCAGAACGAGTGCTCATTAAAAACCACCTTGCATCTTTTGCGTTTTTTTTCTGTGCCTGTGTGCAACTATGCCCAAGTCCATGTGTGCAATTTCACAAGTGGGGCGTCTGCTGTGTCCCCAGAGAGCTTGTAAACACATTTCCACTGCTTTAACATCTGTCTTTCCTTGTAGGTTTGCTTCAGTCACACAAGGCGCTGGGCAAACGAAACACAGGAGACACTCGGGGGAAATGAGTGGAGAGATTGGCTGATGAGCCAGTCTGTGTGGATCTGTATAAGGTCTGTGGGGAGGCCATTCCTTTCTAATTAGTCATAATGAATGTTGTTGGTTACTGAATCTGGAGAGACACAGGGTCATTAGAAAGACAGTCTGTTCAGTGAAGGACATTAGTCAAGAGTATCTTTATCTTTTAGTTCCCACCACAACTCAAGTTTTTCATTTCTTGCAGCCACATAACAGCAGATATATTCAGTTTGGTCATATTTACAGCATCGTTGACATGTTGAAGGCGCACAAATTTTAACACTCTGATGCGGTTACACTGGATAAGACTACAATCAATGCTTTACTACAAACGGTAAAGAAGAAACTAGACGCACAAAATGCAGAAAACAGACTTAACCTTTCTTTCCTCCATATTTAATATTCACTGTGAGCCATTTCACTGTTATATCATTTGAATGTCTTGTTGAAGACTGCTAGCAGCTCTCAGCAGAGCATTTTGAATGTTATTAGCACAGAGTCCTTGCTGTACCTTCCAGAGGGTCTCGTGTGAGTCCCAGCTGGCTGATGATGTAACGAGGGATGTCCGTTTTGATGCCTTGGCCCTCTTTAGCGTGTCCTTCTGCAGCCTCCAGAAGGTGGTAAAATTCCTCTGGGTCAAATTCCTGAAGACACAGCAACACACTTCAGTATATACTGGTAGAAGCAACGCAGAAACCATTGTGCACTTTAAAGGTATGATGAATGCTGATATTTTTCCAATTTGTCTTGATGTCAAAATTTTCCACTGAGACTGAGTGATGGCTTATTTACTGTGTGACAGTGAACACAACATATTTCTTCCCCATTGTCTTGTTTCGACAAATAACTTAAGAAATTCTTTTTGGACATATCTGAAACTTCAAGTGTACATTTCCTGAACTGCATTTTCTAGCACGTCTGGTGTGGACTTGGGCTTGCAGACCAAAGTGAGTTATTCTCTCCCACAGAAAACACTGCTCCTTACCTGCCTGAAACTCCTCATTTGAAGTCCAGGCTTTTCTTCCGTTACCTATTTATATCACCATGCATAGTGCCCGTACAGCAGCTTGTTTGGCCCTCAAACAAAGAATGAGTAGCGGCCTCAAAGTCTGCCTTTATTTCCCCAACAGAGTAGTTTCTGCTCAGGCTACGTCTCTCTTTGCCTACACTAATACATCTGGAGTTATTTTATGTAACCTGTGTTACCTCACTTTAACTGGCTGGTCAATCAAACTGGGATTTTGAGGAGGGGGCTTTAAAGAGACAGGAGCTAAACTGTATTTATAGAAATTCAAAAAATAATGCTTGTTTTTTTTTAAAACACTATAACCTGTAAACATATTCTAGTAGAGATATGCTTCCTTCTGTTTACTGTCTTAAAACATAAAATTACAAACCTGCAAATGTGCAGACTGTGGGCTCTTTAAGTTGATGTGGTGAACTTGTACGCAAACAGTTGCACATTTACACATCAAATGATGGAATAACTTGTGTGGAATTATTTGCCATCTGGAAAATTTCAGTCTAATATTCGCTCTCTTTAGGCTGTCTTTACCTTCTCCTTGGGGAAATATCTGGCTCCTTAACTACTAAAATGCTTCACTATTTGTCCATCTGCCATTCAGTGCTGAGTTCAGTGCATGTGGAGCTTTTCTTTTTTTTTAATATGAAAACAGCTGCCTGCAACAGCTGGAAAAAAGTTAAGAAAGTCGCAGTCAGACTTTACAACGCTGCACTATAAACTCCACTGGTACCTCTGTTACTGCTGCACTTTTTCTTTTTCCCACCAACAAACACATTCCACTATGTGCAATAACCATTAATACCTCATCTTTGTATATATAGTCTTCTTAAAAAAAACAAACAAAAAAAACTCTTCTGTATATAATGTTTTTTTCTCTTGCAATATTTGCACTGTGTGTTTTCTGTTTCCGTTTCTTTCCTACATTTTGCACTGGGTGTTCCCAATTATTCTTGCACTGACTGTACACTTTTTTTGGAGCTGTTGTGAACGGTGAACTTTCCCCACTGTGGGATCAATAAAGTTATCTTTATCTTTAGTGACAGTAAAGTTGCAGGCTAAAGCAAAAGCAAAGCCAAAACCAGCTGCAGAGTCCAGTGATAATTCTCTGTAGGCTCACCACCATGAGCCTTTCGATCTGACACAGTGTCAGCATAAAAACACTGATTATAAATACTTATACCTTTCAATATGAGAGATGTGTCCAAAATGGCAATATCCCTTAAACAATGAAGACGTAGGTAGCTTATGTAATGTTCAGATTGTGGTACGTTTGAGTAGCTGACTTCAGGACAATCGGAATTAAGATTAAATGGGGCAGAAACCAGATGTTTCAACACATACACTCAATTTGAAATCAGCCATCCAGAAAACGTGCGCATTGCGTTTTTCTGACCCAGTGAGTAAAAAAAAAAAAGTTTTAAAAAGGTATTTACTGGCATTTCTTTTTACTTTAAACAGGTAAGAAAAATAGCTACAGTGCTTAAAAATGTAATTTAGTATTGAGGAACATATTCTATTTTGTAGGAATTCAATTAATCAAAACAAAGAAACATATTTTAGCTGCTGTTAAGTGATAAGAAACGTACCAGACATTCCAGCAGTCGAGCAGGTCGGGCTATCACTATGAGGATCTTCTTCACCAGCTCTCTGATGAAGTTCACCTCCTCGCTCTCTGACCGCTCTGTGGACTACACAGCAACCAACCAGAGAAGATACAGGGAGACAATTAGAAGAACATTTCACGTGCAACCACATCACTCACAGTCAGGTGTACTAAAAAGGTAGAACAGACCTTAACCCCAGTTGGTGCCTTTCGAATATTAAATATTTATTCAGGAATAAACGTGGGTTTTTCCCAGTGATCTTTGAAAAAACTTAGAAGATAGAAGAAGATGGTATTTCCAAAATAACTTAAGACTGATCTGTCACATGATAAATAACATTCTAACCCGTTTACCATGTTGCACCTCTACCAGTCTAACCAAAGCAATGATGGTGGCTAAAATGACAAGTGGAAAGTGTCAAACTTTGCTGGTATTTTTTTTAATAAAAAGCAACATATAGAATTTCTTGTTGCTTAAATGAGATATTACAGTTGCAGCTTGATAAATGGGGTACTTTTTTTGTTTGTTTGTGCCACAAACCATAGATGTACCTGCACCTGAACAATGCTCCGCCATTTTGTCAAATTTAAATTTACATAATCTGGTTCAAATTATTATACTGTTCACCTTATTCATCACTATTATTACTGGAGTCCAGTTGGGTTGAGGTTCAAAGTCGGGTTGCAACACATCTATTTACAAAAATGGCTGAATTAGACTGTTAGCTCACAGTCTGCCACATAATAGTTACTTAGACAATATGGATATAATCCTTTAGATGGGAGTTTTAGGCTGTTGTTACACTAAATACAATAAATGAGTTACTTCATGAACTACACATGAAGTCAGTCTCACATTTTATCATGTGGTCAGTTATAGTTGACTTACGTATGTAAACAGTGCTTGCACCACCTTAGAAACAAACCACATGTCAACTCTGCACAAGTCTCAAAAATGTCCTCCAGTATTAAAACAAACAGCAGTGCACCTCTGCAGCAGAATCATTCTTCATCCAGATGATCAGACAAGTTTAATAGGATGGTAGAAATATCTTCAGAAGACCTTCTTGCTATGTATATATTTTCCCAAAAATAAGATATGTAGCACTGAGACTTCAGTGCAATACCAACACTTATAGGCACATTCTGAGGTCCTTCTGCTGTAAAGCAATGCATTATTAGCACAGTTTCATGCAGTTTTATTGCAGAAAAACTGACACTTATTTGCAAACTGTCTTCCAAAAACATCTATGATTACTGGAGACACCACTCACCTCCTGAACAAGTCTCTCCAGTTTGTCAGTGAGCTCGCAGAAGTAGCTGGAGGTGATGAGTCCTAACCGGCTCTTTTCCAGACAGTCACGGGCCAGTTCAATTATCTGGTGGTGGGCAAAGCCGAGCACACCATCTGCCAAAGGGAGGACGCTCTCCGGAGAGCTGCTGCGGATGATCTCCTGAATCCTTTCCTCCATCTGAGCCGTGGCCTGCAGTGAGAAGAGACAGAGCAAGTTTGGCAGCGTGAAACATAATTACTGGCCAGACACAGTTGCAGCAAGCCCACTGCTGGTCCTTACCTTAGGAAACCGCTCCTTGTAGACGTGATTCATCATGATAATCTCATGGTCGTAACACGAAGGGGATCTTCCAGGGCTGAAAAATGAATTTAAACTCCGTAGGTGAGTGCCACCAACACTTTTCAATGCTTTTCACTGTATAAAAATATTGGTAGAGGAAATGAATACCTGAGACTGCGTGAGCGGGGTCGCATGGCCGTCGCTCTGCGGCATTCATCCCCGGAGATGCTCTCAGTGCAGAAGTGCTTGGAGAGGAAGTGCAGTTCGTCAGGCGTAGGCTGGAAGGGCAGCTGGTGCAGCTTCTCCTGTGATGAACAGGATGACTGGAAATGAAACAAATATATATTCAACATGAAAAGAAAAAGAAAGGAGATGCCGATTTTTTTCTATGTGAATAAAAAAAAAAAGAAAAATTGTGTGCTATACATTAATTGTTGGTTTTTAGTTTTTTTGCAACAAGCTAAATCAGAAGATAAGCACCACTTTCATATGTTATTGGGAGACTGTTAGCTTAGCTTAGCATAAATTGAAGACAGTAAACAGAAGGAAAGAGCTAGTTTGGCTTTGTGTAAAGGTTAAGAAAAGGAAAATTATAAAATGTTCTTTTATACATTATAGACTAAAGATATAATGTATTAACCCTCTGAACCCAAAGGAGTTTCTGGGGCGTTTTGTCTCTGGTCACAGCGTTACTCACTGTGGGTTAATTTTTTGCTGCAATATAAATTATTGCACCGCTATGAAACCAACACAGACATGATAAGAACTAGAGAGAACCTGAAGTTGCCTTTTGTACAGTACAACAAAGTTACAATGCCATAAATGATAAAAAGTTTAATTGCTTTGATTATTGATTTAACATAAAAACACCTGGCATCCACATGTAGTTGTTGAAGTGCTTGCAGGTGTTACCACGACTGAGAAAAACATGGTGGCTCTACATACCACACAGAGTTAATTATGATAGCTAATTATGTTTAACGTTAATGTTTAATTTGTTTCCATACTTGTCTCCTATCTGCTCTGTGTAATCAAAGCCTGCGTTTAAGCCAAAAAGCTCCTTGATTTTTGTCACGTGACTTTTGGTCACAGCTGAGTGACGGCTTTACGGTTGGGAAAGGAAAGGAAAGCAATTTTGTTTGATCTTTTTTTTTTTTTTTTTTTTTACAGAATCTGGCTCGTGCGAACGCTTTGTTTTTGGAGAACGTTCAAATGAGACATGCAGATTAAAGTGATTTTGATGAAATATCATGACTTTGGAGATGTAGAGATTTGGCAAAGTTTCCTGAAACAATCACATGTCACTCATGATTCGTTTAATCATCGTCTGAAACATTCATTGATTCTTTTGGTTTTTAGACTTTCTGCTTTTATAAATGGTGTCATTTTGGCTGTTGTTTTCAAATACCTTCCAACTGCCTTTTAAAGCTGCTGGCAGGTTTGAGGTTCAGATTGTTAACTAGTTAACTAGTGACCTTTAGAGGTACTGGTGGTGTTGTTAACTTTGGACAGAGTCAGGCGACCTTTTCCCTCTTGTTAGAGTTTTTAAGTTAAGCTAAGCTAATCGGCTGCTGGCTCTGCTTTCATATTTAACCAACAAACATGACAGTTGCATAAAACCTTTTGTCTAACGCTTGCCTGTAAGCATGTTTCCCAAATTATCAACTCACTCTAAATAGTCATGTGTACTGTGGACTCTCAGTAACACATAAAACAGTGACATAGATCGAACTAATAAGAATGAAAAAAAAACCCTAAAAACTTTAAAATAATGACTTGGCAAAATACTGAGCGCTCACTATAATTATAAAACAGTATCTGCATTGTAACTGCAGGGTATTAAACAGACCTCATAGAGTCTGACCTTTACCAAACAAAGAAAACTGCTATTGTTTCTAATATCACTTGACTCCTGAGGTTTCACAAGAACATGCTTCCTTCAACAGATGGTGTGAATAGCAGGAAATGCACTAGATGACCAAACAGCACATGAAACACAAACACAACATCACTGCAGTTCATTTACAAGTAAACATTGTAATTCCTGTAAATGTGTGAACATCTATTGTATGTTCAACCTCGACTGCTTCCTATAAATGGTGATGCTGAGACACGGATGCAGAACGAGGAAGCAGTCAGAATGAGAGAAAAAGAGGAATGTGTGTCAAAGTCATGTTTACTCTGAACAAATCTTTTGTCTCTCATACAGAGTTTGTTCACAAACACTCTCCATATGCAGCCTTAGTGTGTGGTTGCATCACTGAGCCACATGTAAACATACGAGCAAACAGAGCCGCCACGACAAACACACACGTCCAAATTAAAGCCACAACTTGTTATTTACAGTGACTTAGCACAGATTGTTTTCATCATGTTTTAGCATCACAAATGTGGCTGTAATTACCACTGGATGATTAATTACTTTTATAGTAATATCATAGTTTAACCCGCTGAACCTCAAGCAGCTTTTTACTCACTGCGGCTCATTTTTCACTGCAATATAAAGTCCTGCACCTCTATGGAAACAGAACAAGCAGGGCCAGAAATAGAGAGC